ATTTATTTTGGTGTATTTCTTAGCTTGGAATTTAAGCAATGCATTTATTTGAGAATGCCTAATGCAGTAACCCCAAAATATGTATTTTATGTAAGTTGTCAAAAAGTATACAAAATGGTAACAATTCCTATAATTGACTTTTTTCTCCTAAGTATTATGACAGGTTTTTTTTTTTTTTTTTTTAACTTAAAACATTTATAAAAACAGAAAACATTTACAACAGTTTGCGGTAAATAAGAATATAAGTGCAGAGTTCATTTTATTTTTGTTTTGTGCATTGCTAGACTCAGAAAAGTTGTTTTCCTGTTAGTTGGAAAAAGAAAAGTTTAATTAGTCAATAAATTTATTAAATTAAAAAAAAAAGAAGAGAAGTTTTGAGGGAGTCAAAATTGATATATGGATTTTTGACTGTGGAGGGGTTGGTGCCCCAACTGCCATATTGTTCAAGGGTCAGCTGTAATCTTGGTACCTAACGACATTAACATAATTACTTATTTGCTTTGTCCTTCAGGATGTGTGTGTATGAAAGTTTTAAAATAACAATAATACCTACATTACCAGTAATAGACCACTGAATGCTGTTTAAGATTTCTTTGTGGTTCTTTTTGTCCTAAAGATATATTCCACTAGGTATGCTTAGTCAAAATACTGTTTTGTCCAGCCAAAATACCATTTTCTCAGTCAAAATACTATTTCATTATTAAGTAAAGTAAGGATCCATGAGTTTTTGCTGATATAAATAAATAAGCAAATAAATGAATGGGGCAGAAGGAAAAACTTTTAAGTAGAAAACCAATGAAATGTAGAAAAAATGCTGGAATTATAAAATCACAATTTGGCAGTTTTCATCATAACTGATTTCAGGTAAGAATCATTAAGGATGCTAACTAGCAGGTGAAAGTTTGAAGAGTGATATTTACATAATGTCATAGTATCTCCCCACAGGATACTTACTAATCACAAAGGGGAAAATAATCATTTTACAGGGGAGAAAGCTGGCAGAAACTAGCAAAGTTAATATTGCTAGTAATGGGACGTGCTTCCTGATATAGTACACTGAGAAGAACTCGGCAGCACTGCTGTGATATTCCTGCCATAACTAGATCTAATCATGATGAAACCCTGGGAATACTAAACTGAGGGCATTCTAGAAAGTAACTGGCCTATATTCTTCAAATACAGTCGCAGGTTAAAGTGATTAAAGGATTCTAAAGAAATACAACAGCTGAATGCAATACAGGATCTTGTTTTTATTTTTGCTATAAAGGATATTATTAGGACAATTAATGAGATTGGAACAAGGTCTGTAGATTACACAGTAATATTTGTTCAATATAAAGTCCTTGATTTTGACAATTGTACTATGGATTTATAAGAGAATTCTCTATTTTCAGGAAATATATAGATAGATGGAAAAAAGTGAGAGACTGAGAAGCATAAAACAGATGTAGAGAAATGTTAACATTTGGAATCTGAGTGAAAGGTATCTGGAATTCTTTGTACTATTCTTGTAACTTTTCTATAAGTCTAAAATCATGTTAAAAAACCCACCTAATTTTAAAGTCACTTAAAATCTCTTGTGGTTATGCTTTCACTTTGTAATTCGGTGAGGTTTATTTGTTTGAATTAGATTTTGACTTAATTTGGTTTTTAAATTATATAAAACATAGACATAGTTCCAAAGTCAAAATTGTAAAACAAATACCATTCACAGAGGTCTAGCTTTTATCCTCTTCTCCCACCCCCAATCTTTCTCTCCCTCTTGGTAACATTTTAATTACTTTTTGGTCTATTCTTCTATTTTTTTTTGAGTTGGAGTCTCACTCTGTCACCCAGACTGGAGTGCAGTGGCCGC